TCCACAGCAGAGAACATCACTGGGTTCTATTTGCTTTTATCACGTCGCGCCGCTCGCGTCTGGTGTAGAGATGTTGTTTTGGTATTTGTGAATCTTAAGTATATTCATAATCTGCTTTACGTTTACCTGGCACTGGAAGTCCTTTCACAAACTTGTAACTTGCATGCTTAGAGCAGAACCATACATCGTTCATTTATATTTCTCCATGGCTCCCTGCAGTACAACTCTGATTCTTCAATCGCGCCATCTAGTGGTCCGTTATTGATACAACCACAACTGATAACGGAGCGCTCAAGCGGGTACTGTGAGTCATGTTGAGGTAATTAAAATATGTCAAATTAATATTTTGCGCTCAATTATTTACTCATCAGGCAAGTGGCCGCATGATAAGCGGGAAAATTACGTAGTGTAGGGTGACCATACGTCCTCTTTTCCCTGGACTCTTTTTGGACCTACAAAAATGCGTCCGGCTGGGATTTCTTAATTGCCCAAAATGTCCGGGATTCGGCTGTTTTCTTAATCCCGCATCAAACGCACTCTGTGTAAAGGGAGCACATCTTACAAGATCAGATATTTGTCAATGAGCTCAGGATCTGTGGAGCAATAAATACTCCAGCATGGTCTTGTCAGTCATCTCTCCTTATTCTCGACCTGTGATCAGTCAAAGCTGACTCCTGCAACTCTTGTTGGATGCAGGGTTGCCAAGTCCGCGTTCCACAGAATTGGGCTACTTTTAAACTGTTGCCATGGGTTGATTTTCCCAAGTGGGTTAAAGGTTTGAAATATTGCATAAATTGCATTTGACCGAAATGCTTGTATTGAAACATTTTGCATTCTACCTATGATAAAACTTTCATGGACTTCTACACTAACTGTTCCCTCCTGGTGGAATGACCTTATTATTATTTTCCTTATTATATTATGTCCTTATTATTTTCAAGAAATGGCTGAAAACACATCTCTTTCATCTTAATTTGACCCTCTAACTCTAGCACTCTCTATTCTAATGCTACTTCTAATTTTATCTGCTTGTTTGTTTTTTTTTTTATTAAAAAAAAACTTGACCCTCTAACATTTGCACTCTCTATTCTATTTCTATTCTAACTACTTGTTTTATTTATAAAGAAAAACAGAGCCTCTAACACTAGCATTCTCTATTCATTTCTGTTCTATTGACTTGTTTTGTTTTTATTTAAAAATGACCCTCTAACACTAGCATTCCCTATTCTTTTTATTTATTACAAACACAAAATAAGCAAACAAACAAAAAAAAACCTTGCTACGTATACTGTTAGGTGAAGCCCCGCCTTTGTCCCCGCCCACGAACCCCACCCGCTACTGTCCGCTTTTTGGAAAACTAAAATATGGTCACCCTAACGTAGTGTAGTCTTTATCACCCTGCAAAGATTTATTTTGCAAAATAATCTGTGGACTGTGCACTATCCCTCAGCCTTGCCGGGCCCCCGAGTTTGGGAACCACTGGAGTAGGCGATTTGTGCTCGATTAATTTGGTCTGTTACGATGCTCTATGTGTTTGATTACTAATGCCTGTGTAGTACGACGTTGCACACAGAGGACAAAAACGTTCAGCCTCGACTCTTTATCGTCATTTGTGTTAAAATTGGCAAAGCGTACCAAATTGAACAAAACTATATAAATGCATGAATATATAACGGTATCCATGGTATAACAAAATCCATATCATGGAACAACATAATACCGGTAGCGCCCACCCCTAGCGAATAAACAAAACTAGATAAACCAAGCAGATATCCAAAAACACGACTAGACAAGGCAAGATAAACATACCAGACTGGAAACTCGGATATGGCTCCGTAAAGTAGCTATCACAATAAACTGTGATAAGTGCTTAAAATACTCGGCATTGTGAGTGTGTGTTGGTCCAGTTTAAATAGTGTCCCTGATGGGAAACAGGTGTGACGGTAATCAGTTCCACGTGCAATGGATTGTGGGAAATTTAGTCTGGGGTGCAATACAACGGTCTTTGTGGTGCGTAGTGACCTCAGATAAACTATTGAGCTACCTGCCATCATATTCCTCTTCTCTTTGGGCATGCTAATCTGGTAAGTCTTATCAGTTCATGTATTTTAAACATTTGCAAAGCTAATTTGGATTTGAGCCATTTTAGCATTTTATTTAAAATCTCAAAATGTGTTTTTGCATCGGTTGTGCACGCATAAAAATGTTTGGGTAGCAAATTTTAATGACCTCAAAATAGCATGCATTCTTGGACAAAAAGTAATGGTTTTCATAGAGGTTTAACAATAATTCGATGCACTTTGTTCCACGTATTCAAATAGTTCAAGTGATATGCTCAAGCCATACCAGTTTGTGTTATTTCTTGCTTAAAATGTAACATTTCAAAATGCAAATTGTGCAGTATAAACAAATATTTAAACAAGGTTTGTATTATGGGATCAGACTGAACGCGATATTTCACATAATGCCTATTAAATTAAATAGATTATTAGTGTTATGTGCTTTATAGATATTTTTCCTAGTGTTTTGGCAAATATTACAACCTGATTAACTTCTCCATCTCTCTCTTTTCAGGTTAAAAGTGAGGCAGCTGGCAGTTCAGTTTGTTACGTTGATGTCCAATTATTAATTTTGTAAGGCTGGAAGCTTACGCTGCTATTTTGAACCAATAATCGGAAAAAAAAAGCCAGTTGAAGGATGACGTGTATAATTCATATTTATCTGACTCCATTAAAGTTGTTGTTATTCTTTAACCTCTTATTCTATAAAGTTTTTTTTTAGAACTGATAGGAAAATGTAGGATTTAACCTGAACATTTAGATAATGAAAGTTTCAATCAATAGCATCCTGTGATGATGAAGGCCATTGTGTCACATTTAGTTCACATGCATACTTTTAAATGGATTTCTGAAGTATTAGGACAGTAAATAGTTCTACCCATTTTCACTCAACCCTACAATTTTAATACACAATCATTGTATAGAGACATTAAAATGGGAATGAATATTGAGTGCACAACACAAATCGAAAAGAAAAAATATATAAAATAGCGTAGAAGTAAATCAGTCATCAGTACTCTATAATATGTATACCACCTTCAATGCCCACAAAAGTAGGAATCATCCATATGGTGATGTCTCAGATTTTAAAGACGAGATCATCTTGAAAGTGACTGACAGCAAAGTCAAGTTGAATGTAATGAGCCTGATTGCTCTCAGAATTCTGCTGAGAGACTACTGACTGTAATCTGCTTGAGTCAAGATGAATTGCAAACTCACCCGAGGAACAATTTGGCTTCTTTGTTCTTGAAAATGCACAGTGTATCAGAGATGGCTATCCAAGACATAGTTGAAAGTTTGGTAGATATATTCTTACTGTCCAGACCTCTTGTGAGAGACTCAATCATCATGGTTCTGCGAGAGTATGATCAGACTATCAGTGAAGTCCTTCTTAATGAATTAGTGGAAGCTGTAGTGAAAAGAAAGGTGCGGAGCTGTCCACAGGTAAGCGAAGGAAAAGAATATATATAGTAACTGTCTGTTGTTTTTCCTGAAGATCTCTTTGCCAGATCAGTGGGTTTTATTGTTTTGTTGGATGTGAAAATTCTGAGTCCAGCCTTACACGTGGCTTTTCCTGTGACAATTTTAGATAAAATGTTGAAATCCTTGACCTGGAATAGTGTAAATCTAGTGAGCATCAGCATGTTCTTCAGCATCATGATGTTTCATTCTGGATCACTGTTCTCGCCACTCGTGGCAGTTCTGCCAAAAACAAAAATTTAATTTCTAACAGACATTGATGCAAAATGTATAATAAATATTTCAGATTCTGCAGTAAGACTTATCACATGATTTAAAAAAAGAAGTAGTGTCTGATAATTTAACTCCAGATTTTCAGATCACACTGGATAACATGGATCATCAGGCTTTGTCAAATCAACACCAACATACTAAGACTACAACAACGTAAGGAAGTAAGGAAGCCCATTTCCACCACAGTAAAACATAAATATGTAAGTTATTATAAAGAGAAAGAGATGCTTTCTAATAATTATGACTTAATATCTCATAATAATAAGATACTTTCTCATAACAATGAGATACTTTAGACCATATCATAGTACTGAGACTGCTCTCATTAGAGTTACAAATGACCTGCTCTTATCATCTGATCGTGGTTGTATCTCTCTATTAGTGCTACTGGATCTTAGTGCCGCATTTGACACTATCGACCACAACATTCTTTTGAAAAGACTAGAAAATTATGTTGGCATTAGAGGAAGTGCATTGGCTTGGTTCAAATCATACTTATCTGACCGCCATCAATTTGTGGCAGTGAATGAAGAGGTATCATATCTTTCACAAGTGCAGTATGGAGTACCCCAAGGCTCAGTACTAGGACCCTTACTTTTCACGCTTTGCATGTTACCCTTGGAAGATATCATCAGGAGACATGGTGTCAGCTTTCACTGTTATGCTGATGATACTCAGTTCTATATTTCTTCACGACCTGATGAAACATACCAATTTGCAAAACTAACGGAACGCATAGTTGATATAAAAAACTGGATGACTAGTAATTTCTTATGGCTAAATTCTGAAAAAACAGAGGTGTTAATTATCGGACCTAAAACCTCTGCATGTAATAACCTAGAACACTGTCTAATACTGGATGACTACTCTGTCAGTTCTTCGTCATCAGTTAGGAACCTAGGTGTGCTATTTGATAACAATCTTTCCTTTGAAAGCCACGTTTCTAGCATTTGTAAAAGCGTATTTTTCCATCTTAAAAATATATCTAAATTACGACCTATGCTCTCAATGTCAAATGCAGAGCTCAGTACTAGGACCCTTACTTTTCACGCTTTCATCAGGTGACATGGTGTTAGCTTTCACTGTTATACTGGATGATACTCAGCTCTATATTTCTTCGCGACCCGATGAAACATACCAACTTGCAAAACTAACGGAATGCAGAGTTTATATAAAAAACTGGATGGCTAGCAATTTCTTACTGCTAAATTCTGAAAAAACAGAGGTATTAATCATCAGACCAAAAACCTCCGCATGTAATGACATAGAACACTGTCTAATACTTGATGGCTGCTCTGTAAATTCTTCATCATCAGTTAGGAACCCAAGCGTGCTATTTGATAGCAATCTTTCCCTTGAAAAACATGTTTCTTGCATTTGTAAAACCACATTTTTTCCATCTTAAAAATATATCTAAATTACTACCTACGCTCTCAATGTCAAATGCAGAAACGTTAATTCATGCGTTCATAACCTCAAGGTTAGATTATTGTAATGCTTTATTGGGTGGTTCCTCTGCGCGCTTAAAGGGGTCATATGATGCGATTTCAATTTTTCCTTTCTCTTTGGAGTGTTACAAGCTCTTGGTGCATAAAGAAAAACATGTTTCTTGCATTTGTAAAACCACATTTTTTCCATCTTAAAAATATATCTAAATTACTACCTACGCTCTCAATGTCAAATGCAGAAACGTTAATTCATGCGTTCATAACCTCAAGGTTAGATTATTGTAATGCTTTATTGGGTGGTTGTTCTGCACGCTTAATAAACAAACTCCAGCTGGTCCAAAATGCAGCAGCTAGAGTTCTTACTAGAACCAGGAATTATGACCATATTAGCCCGGTTCTGTCAACACTGCACTGACTCCCTATTAAACATCCTATAGATTTTAAAATCTTGCTTATTACTTATAAAGCCCTGAATGGTTTAGCTCCTCAGTACTTGAGCAAGCTCTTATCGTATTATAGTCATCCACGTCCGCTGCGTTCTCAAAACTCTGGCCATTCGATAATACCTAGAATATCAAAATCAACTGCGGGCAACAGATCCTTTTCCTATTTAGTGCCCAAACTCTGGAACAATCTACCTAACACTGTTCAGGCGGCAGACACACTCTGTCAGTTTAAATCTAGATTAAAATCCCATCTCTTTAATCTGTTTTACACATAACACGCTAACACATTTCTATAATTCAAATCCGTTAAAGGATTGTTAGGATGCATTAATTAGGTCAACCGGAACCGGGAACACTTCCCATAACACCCAATGTACTTGTTGCATCGTTAGAAGAATGGCATCTATGCTAATATTAGTCTGTTTCATTCTTATTCCGAGGTCACCGTAGCCACCCAGACATCTAGATATCTAAATATCAGACATCAGGACATCTAGATGTGCCCCAGAGACTGATCCCCCCCAAAGACCTCGTCTTCTAGATGGCCATTGGGACAAGACCACAGGAACCAGATGAGTCCTCTGCACAATCTGACTCTGCTGCAGCCTAGATTTAAACTGCTGGTCTCGTCTGGCCAGAGGAGAAAGACACACTATTTCGAGACACTATTTCCCCGTTTAATACTGCAAAGCTGCTTTGACACAATTTGCATTGTAAAAAGCGCTATATAAATAATGGTGACTTGACTTGACTTGACTACTTTCCAAGCAACCAAAAAAATGTCCTGTCACCAATCGTGGCTTTTAGGAAACTAACTTACACAGAAGAGACTTTTTTGCTCAGCACATTGAGATGAACTGCTTACCGTGATTTCAGACTGTGATTGTTGTGAGTGAATAAAGAAGGTAACGGAGCGAAACTCTACCCGCATGGATCACGGTGGTCTGGTTTCATTAATGCATGGATCTTCATGTGTAGCTTCAGGTGACTTTTAGAAGTGAAACTCATTGAGCACTGATCACACGTGTGCAGCTTCTCTCTACTGTGGATCAGCTCATGTCTTTTCAGATTTGATGACTGACGGAATTTCTTGTCACAGTATGAACACTTGTAAGGTTTCTTTCCAGTGTGGATCAGCTCATGTGATTTCAGACTTGATGACCGACTGAATCTCATGCCGCAGTGTGAACACTTGTAAGGTTTCTTTCCAGTGTGGATTAGCTCATGTCTTTTCAGATTTGGTGACTGACTGAATCTCATGTCGCAGTGTGAACACTTGTAAGGTTTCTCTCCAGTGTGGATTTGCTCATGTCTTTTCAGATTTGATGACTGACGGAATTTCTTGTCACAGTGTGAACACTTGTAAGGTTTCTTTCGGGTGTGGATCCGCTCATGTGATTTCAGACTTGATGACTGACTGAATCTCTTCTCGCAGTGTGAACACTTGTAAGGTTTCTTTCCAGTGTGGATCAGCTCATGTCTTTTCAGATTTGATGACTCACGGAATTTCTTGTCGCAGTGCGAACACTTGTAAGGTTTCACTCCAGTGTGGATCCACTCATGTGATTTCATATTTGATGACTGTCTGAATCTCTTGCCGCAGTGTGAACACTTGTAAGGTTTCACTCCAGTGTGGATCCACTCATGTGATTTCATATTTGATGACTGTCTGAATCTCTTGCCGCAGTGTGAACACTTGTAAGGTTTCACTCCAGTGTGGATCCACTCATGTGATTTCATATTTGATGACTGTCTGAATCTCTTGCCGCAGTGTGAACACTTGTAAGGTTTCACTCCAGTGTGGATCCACTCATGTGATTTCATATTTGATGACTGTCTGAATCTCTTGCCGCAATGTGAACACTTGTAAGGTTTCTCTCCAGTATGGATCCGCTCATGTGATTTCAGACTGAATGGCTGACTGAATCTCTTGCCGCAGTATGAACACTTGTAAGGTTTCTCTCCAGTGTGGATCAGCTCATGTCTTTTCAGATTTGCTGACCGACTGAATCTCTCGTTGCAGTGTAAACACATGTATGGTTTTTCTCCAGTGTGAATCATCTGGTGCTGGTATAAATGTTTTGCCAAAGTAAAAGTCTTTCCACACTCAAAGCACATATAATCTCTCACAGCGTTATGTAACTTCTGATGTGATTTTAAACTTTGCAGCAGTGAAAAACTCTTTCCACATAAAGAACATGTATGTGGCTTCTCCTTCATATGAACGGCCAGGTGTTTCTTCAGCGATGAAGACACATGAAATGTTTTGTCACATTGATCGCATGCGTACGGCTTTTCTCCGGTGTGGAATCTCATGTGAACAGCAAGATTGCTTTTCAATGAGAAACTCTTTCCACATTGATCACATGCATGTGGCTTTTCCCCCGTGTGGATCGTCATGTGGACTCCGAGATGATGTTTGTATGTGAAGGTCTTCCCGCACTGATCACACGTGTGTGGTTTCTCTCCAGTGTGGATCCTCTCATGTGTTTTCAGATTTGATGAATCACTGAATCTCTTGTCGCAGTGTGAACACTTGTAAGGTTTCTCTCCAGTGTGGATCCTCTCATGTGATTTCAGATGTGCTGACAGACTGAATCTCTTGTCACAGTGTGAACACTTGTAAGGTTTCTCTCCAGTGTGGATCCTCTGATGCAGTTTCAATTCATTTGCTGAAATAAAAGTCTTCCCACACTCAAAGCACATATGAGATTTTACACCAGTATGTGTTTTCTGATGCATTTTTAAACTTTGCAGCAGTGAAAAACTCTTTCCACATGAAGAACATGAATGTGGCTTCTCCTTCGTATGAACTGTCAGGTGTGTCTTCAGGTCTGATGACCGAAGAAATGTTTTGCCGCACTGATGACATGCATACGGCTTCTCTCCTGTATGGATCCTCATGTGATTTTTAAGATATTGTTTGTGTGTGAAACTTTTTTCACACTGGTCACACATGAACGGTTTCTCTCCTGTGTGCTTCAGGGATGATGACACACTAAATGTTTTGCCACAGTGATCACACGCATACGGTCTCTCTCTAGTGTGGACTCTCATGTGAATCTCAAGATTTTGTTTGAATGGGAAACTCTTTCCACACTGATCACATGTGAACGGTCTCTCTCTAGTGTGGACTCTCATGTGAATCTCAAGACGGTGTTTGTATGGGAAAATCTTTCCACACTGAAGGCAGGTAAAAGATTTCTCAGCTCTTCTTTCCTTTAAAAATGTCTTTTTAGTTTTCGAGCGACTCTGAGGTTTTTCTCCAGGTATGACATGTTTCTCCTCCACTTCACTCAGTTCTTCATTCTCTTCCATCAGGTCTGAAATGAAAACAAAACAAAAAAAAAAGTTGAATTTTTTAGTAAGCCAAACTAATTCAAAGCCAGGAATATGAATTGAAAAGTCATAAAAGTGAGCCCTGATGTAATAGCAGAAAAGCGACAACTGTTATAAAATATTGCAATTATTTTGATGCATTTTTATAAATTAATTATATGAATTAATTATATAATTATAGGTACATTGATTTTCCAGTTATTATTTTTTAAACATTATAGGCTCATGTAGTGTTTCTGTAGTGAGAACTATTAAATATATTTGATTAACGGCAAAATTATCTAATGCAATGTTAACAAAAAACAAACAAAAAAGCTACAATTTTCACAACAACTTTTAGGTGGCAAACTTTTTGCAGTCAAGAGGAATAGGTTTTATATTTTTAATTTATTATAATGTTCAATTTATGTTTTTAAAGACGCCACATGTTGAAATTTCACATGGTCAAAGTCTAGATTGACCGTGGCTTAAACCGGTTTTTAATCAAGAATTTCTAGCATTAGCTGTGTCCTACAGATTTCACTCTACGATTTTCCTCATTTTAATAAATAGGGCATTTCTTAAAATTGTGACATCATTTGGGCTCTTTTCTACAGCATGATGGGAGGACAAGAAAATAATCTCAATCCATTTTTACACAAACTGTACAGTGTTGACTGCATTCATCAAGTTACTATAAGAAAAATAATCTCTATAACTATGAATAAGTCCTATATTTTATTAGAAATTCAACTTTATCAGTAACAATAAATAAGCTTTTGCTTAAAACCTGTCACCCATTCTGGAAAGTTCATTTAATTTTTGGTGTTTACTGTTTATTGCTAAAAAAAAACTGTTGTAAACTATATTGAGAAATGTCCAAAATTTTGGTAACGTTGCAAAAGCATAACCACAAAATAAAAGAGCTAAAACAACATTTAGATTGATTTGATGTTTGCAATCAAAATTAAAGCTTGTTGACCATTTGTTGAAAACCAAAACATGAAGAAAAGTTTGTATCCATTTCATAGTTTAACTGTTTATCTAAATCTGATGAACTGCTTGAAGCTTTATAACATTAATGTCCTTCAGCATCATGAATGAATTAAGAGTCAAGAATAAACACCGACCTCTCTGTTCTTCAGTGTGTTTCATCCTGCAGGGTTCTTGATCACTGTGTTCTCACTGTCCTCAGTCTTTGCAGATTTCACTTCTTCCTGATGGAAAATTCCAGCATTTATTGGCGAATTACTGTGGGCGGAGCTTCACTGATGATGTGTTTGCTGTGGGTGGAGCTTCACTGATGATGTGTTTGCTGTGGGTGGAGCTTCACTGATGATGTGTTTGCTGAGGGCGGAGCTTCACTGATGATGTGTTTGCTGTGGGTGGAGCTCCACTGATGATGTGTTTGCTGAGGGCGGAGCTTCACTGATGATGTGTTTGCTGTGGGCAGAGCTTCACTGATGTGTTTGCTATGGGTGGAGCTTCACTGATGATGCGTTTGCTGTGGGCGGAGCTTCACTGACTGTGAGTCACAGGGGGCGGAGCTTCATTGATTGAATTACAGTTTGGTTGGAGGTGCTGATCTCCCTAAATCAATACCACTTACTGTCTGTTACTGTTGCAGTTTGTTTTTATAGGATCAAAGAGAAGAATTTTTAGTGTTTGCATCAAATTAAATTTACAAAAGTGATTTTACATACATGAAAAGCGTACTATACAAGTAAAGTGCCTATTTAAATGGTTCAAATAACTTATAAAATGTACAAATATGGGTGATATAATGTTCCATTATCATTCAGTGTAACATGTATTTATGTCAAATGAAACAACAAACTTATTCTGAGCTGTACTTATTGAAATATATCAAAGAATAAGTGATCAGACTGAATTTGATTCTATTTTAAATGATTTCAATCTTCTTGCTGCTAACTGGGTCAAACTGAGTGGCAAAGACAGACAGATTTCAAATGACAATGAATGAGTATTTTGGTGCTACACTGTGATCCTTAAATAAAGTCTTTTAATATTTAAAATTAAAAGCCGTGTTACACTTATTTTTTGATGCTTGAAAACTTTCATTTAAGCATTCATGTTTCTCATAAAGCAACTGATGCTAATTCACAAATTCTTTTTTATTGCCAATTCAAATATTATTCTGTACCTTTATTTAAATATCGACAGATGTAGTAAAGAACTGTAAGAAAACAGTTGAAAGCATGAACACAGAAATGGACAGATTTGAGTGAGAAATAAACAGATCCTCCAATGAAATGAGCTTTAAGTGTCAGTTTACAGGAGATCTGCAGACATCAGCATAATAAATGAGGTGAAAACAGCAACTATTGACATGAAATAAAGAGTCTTTTCATAAGCTCTGTTAATATTGATGAGCCTCAGACTATCAGCACTCATTAAACAAGCCAGGACTATTAGCGGCTCATTTGCATCTCAAAGATAATACTGTTATTTTTCACAATACGACCAGCATTTCAGATGCCTGTATTTAAAATACTTACTTGAAATACAAATGCCATTTTGTATTTTAAAGCCTTTGGGGAAAATCAAATGCAATTTGTATTTAAATGCATTTAAGATGAGTATTTTTGTATTTTCAAAATACATAAAATACTTTGTGTCCAGAGAATTGTATTGTTGTGCACCCTCCCTTAAATATTATGGGGAAAAAACACCTACTATACAGGGGTCAAAATAAAAAGTAAATAAATAAATTGTAATTCAATTGTGTTATTTATAAATTACAATTGTAGCTCTAAACAGTTACTTACGGCTGTACACGTAGCAATAGTTTTTACAATTATATAATAAATAAAAAGAAACCAGATAGAATAGAAAAAGAATAGAGCAAGCTAGTTTTAGATGCCTTTTTTGCTTTTTGTTAATTGTATAATAAATAAAAAGAAAACAAATAGATAGAATACAAAAAGATTAGAGAAGCTAGTGTTAGTTGTTTTTGTTTTTTTTTAAGAAAACAAGCAAGCAATAGAGTGCAAGTCTAAAAGGGGCAAGTTTAAAAAAAAAATTGAATTAGAATAGAGAGTGCTAGAGTTAGAGTGTCTTTTTTTTTAAGAAAACAAGCAAGCAATAGAGTGCAAGTCTAAAAGGGGCAAGTTTAAAAAAAAAATAGAATTAGAATAGAGAGTGCTAGAGTTAGAGTGTCAAATAAAGATGGAAGAGATGTGTTTTTAGCCGATTCTTGAAGATTGAGTTGGCCAGGTCATTCCAACAGGAGGGAACAGTTAATGTAAAAGTCCGTGAAAGTGATTAAAAATTAAATTAAAAACCACTGTGCAGCTTGTCTGATGAATTCAGTGAAAACTGATATCATGACAACACTGATAGTAGCAGTGGGAGACTCAGTTCTAAACACAAGGGCTGCATTTGTTCATCAGAAACTGAGAAAAACACCTCAGCGTGGCTCCACAGCTGAAAGGATCATCAGACACGGGTGACTCCAGCAGAAATTCAAGGGAAAACACTGTGTGTGCTTGTGCTGCGGATGCAAATAAATTATGTCAATTACAAAATCTTGCAAAAGACAACAATAACTGCTTTGAAAGCACCTTGTTCTATTCACTTTGCTCTGAAAATTGTGTTGAAGTTACTCATGTTGTGAGAATGTTACTATACACATCCTGCACTGCCAATGTGAGTCTTACAGTTGCACAAAGATGCATTAAAATCATAGTCAGATATTCAAAAAAAGACATTTGAAAAATGTTTCATATGAAATGTTCTTTTTTTTAATGAGAGACTCTGCGTGCCACAGTTTGAGATCCACCATCATACAGTGATGACAGAGCTTTGTATATTTTATATATATGTGTATATATATATATATATATATATATATATATATATAAA